TACTTGGCTCCCAAATGGCTATGCTTTGTAAGTGATTTTGTGTATCAGAGATGCTTTGAAAGGAGAGAGGGCTTAGAGATCATGGTAGTTTAAAATCAATATGGCTGTCTCAACTCATTTTAAATAAAAAACTCTACATAGATAATACCATTTAAATTACTAGCACAGAACTTCAAAGGGAAGCAGGGGTTAGGGGGATTAAAATTAAGATGTTGGTTGTAGATTGCTTCATTTTATAATGGATGCCCAATTTTTAAACACATGGCATTACTGGGTATTGTTGAAGTAACACTACTGTATTTATATATTTTTTAATGTTTTATTTAGTTTTGAGAGAGAGAGAGTTGGGAAGTGGCTGAGAGAGGGAGACAGAGCAGACAGCAGAGAGCCTGATGCAGGGCTTGACCTCACGAACTGTGAGATCGTGATCTGAGCCGAAGTCGGATGCTTAACTGAATGAGCCACCCAGGCACTCCATAACACTACTGGATTTAGAAATAATCTTAATAATTTCACATTCTACTCAATTTTTCCTGTTTTTCAAACTATCTCATACATTTGCATATGTACAGGAAAAGAAGTTCAATTTCAGGAAGTGAATAATTTTTTTTAAGTTTATTTATTTTTGAGAGAGTATGTGTATGTGCCAGAGTGGGGGAGGGGTAGAGAGAGAATCCAAAGCAGGGTCTGAGCTAAGGGCTCTATCTCACAAACCTTGAGATCACGATCTGAGCTGAAATCAAGTGTCAGGTGCTTAACCTAAACCGACTGAGCCACCCAGGCACCCCAGGGAGGGAATAATTTAATTAACACTATTTTAGCTTTCAAAATGATTAAGATGGCCTGTAAACACTAGAAAAAAAAAAAAAAAGACTTAAACATTCTGAATTTGAAATTTTATTTTTCATTTGTATGACCTTCAACTTTATAACACCAAAATGGAAAGGGTGTGTGTATGCAGAAGTATGACCACTTACAACTACACTACCCACCCCTAAAGAACAGAGAAAGCAAAAATGTTATAAAACAAGGTTTATTCTGCAATACTTTATCATAATGAATTGCATCTCTTTGGTAAAAATAAACTTTATAAACATTTTAATAATCAGAGATTAGATACAAAAACTAAACATCTGTTAAGTTGCTTTTAATATGAGCAAAGACTGGCAACTGAGAAGTGGTTCATTTGTGACTGGTCATCTACTGGCAGTTATAACTCAAACTCAGGGCAATTTTTATGCTACATTAGAAAAGAGGATAAGGAAATCAGTTCAATAACTCAAATTTCTTGAATGAGAAAGCATTCTTATACTTTCATTGAAAAATAAATAATAGTTACACTGAATTGGCAATTATACATTTTTATACACTATAGGATGGCAACATAATACTTTAAAATTAAGCACTTAGTTTAATAAGAAATGTACAACAATTTTAAAAACAAATTTGATAATGGCACTGGCAGTTAAATGCAAAAAAAAATGTGCTTTAAGAAAAAGATGGCAGGTAGAACATTAAAATACTCTAAATTTGTCTTTCAATAAATATTTTGAATACATCATTAACATAGTGAAGTAAACTTTGTTTAAATCAAAGCTTACACATTTTGAACTAACAACAACAACAAAATAAACTATAAAGTACGTGTAAACCAGAAAGCCTCAAAGTTTCTTAATTAAATGCTGTAGTCTTCACAAAAGGTTGTTAACTTACTGTAGTATTTAAGACAAAAGTCTTTACAGCTTTGTGAAGTATTCACATCTGTTGCTTAAATTGCTGGGAAAGGCCTCCTGATCTACCAAGACACACACATTCCCTCCTTAACACTTTCTCTAGCTTTGAATTCGTCCTAACATATATTTAACTGACCGCCTCCTATGAACCCTTTACATAATGCCTCAGAAAGTAGCAGAAGAAAATTTATATTCTAAACCTTATTATATACAAGGGGATCTAAGTTAAGAGAAGTCATGCTGGCTATAGGGAGGAAAGGAAAGGCTCAAAGGTGGAACAAAGAGATGATCCACCAATAATTCTTTCCATGAATACAAGTAATGTTTTCTTTCTCTGAATCTGAAAGGTAAAATAAAATATTAATGAATTTAATAATATATTGCACAAATAAATTTCAAAATCTATATTCAAGAAACACTGATTCTATTTGGGATGTGAAGGATGAAGATAAATTGTGCTGAGTCAAAACTTTTACTAGAAATCTATTATAAATGGGAATTGGTTGTAACAATTTATATCAATATAAGGCAAATTATGTTAGCTTAATTCACAGTCTTCAAGTATGCTGGAATATATATAACCTCTCTGAAATTGCCAAATTTTTGCTATTACAGTAAAATTTCTTATGAATATATTAGAAATATAATTTCTAGTACATAGGACTGGAAATTACTTTCTTTAATTGGGTGGTGATTAGCCATGTTTTTACCTCAACACATCTGAGGAATGGGATCATAATACCTATGAAAGTAATAATGGGAGAACCATAATTAAAAAGGTACTTTCTCTTTAAAATAACTGTCTTGGTAAATCAGCAAATGGAGTGATGCAATGAATTCTGTTTAAGAATTAAGTGTAAAATATTGTGTGACTTCTTCCTATTCACTTGTAGTACAAAAGTGTTTATTGTCCTTGCTAGTGAAGTTAAATTTAACTTTTAAATTTGCAGGAAGAGCACATGAAGAGGGAGAGAAAATCAAGTTTAAAGTATTACTGTTATTTATATTAAACCAAAATAATTCTGAAGATCCCTCTTAAAGTAGGGACAACTCAACTCTCCCCCTCCTTAGATCATTTTCCTCTGCTTTCGAAGAGTAATTACAAATGGACAGGAACCAGAGAGATTATCTGTGGTACAGAATTTCAGTAGGACACAATAAACTGGAACCAGATCACTGAAACACTGTTACTAAGGTCTATGCAGAACAGTTTCAAGATATTGTTAGAATGATATTGATAATCTGTGTACTATTTATACTGTGTAAAGCATTTTTTGTGTGTTATATTCATTGTCTACAGTAAAAGGTGGTAACTTGAATTAGCCATTTTCTGTAGATGTGACATATATGAAGAACAAAAACTGCAAATATCTCATCCTGCATACTTGAGGACTATTTTTTGTTATCAACAAATTAAAAAATTACTATATTTCAACAGCACCAATTCTATTAATGTGGCTATCCAGGTTCAATTACAATTAACATGGAAACAGGACAGATAATAGTAATGTTGTTATCCCTGGCTTAAAGTTTTGCCAACTGAAAAAGATGTTTTCATTAGGCTTCTCACTTGACAGTTTTGCCCAAATAAAACTTACAAGTCAAAATAAAAATATTTGTCTCTTAAAACACACACACACACACACACACACACACACACACACACACACACACACACAATCCAAGAAAATGCTTTAGTCATAGAAACAGCTGAAAGTAACCATCCCAAATCATGAGCCTATGCGTGTACGTATGTATGTATGTATGTGTGTGTGTGTGTGTGTGTGTGTGTGTACGTACATGTATATGAAATTATCAGAAAGTGAAAACAAGGTCATTGTTATAAAACAGAATGTATGTATCATGAGATAAATTGAACTTTTGGAAAGTTGCTTCCACCACTGTAAAAAAATATATATAATAAAGTTTAGTTTTATTAGTATCTTGTGTTCTTTCTAAATAATATATAAACTATAAAAATGATATGAAAAAAATGTCTTGTAGAAGCAGATTTGATCAAATACTTAAAATGCCTTAGTCAATGCACATTTGGAACAGCAATATAAAATCTTTTAGCATGGAATAAATGGCACATAATATGTATTATATGGTCTCCCCCAAAAGATGTACTATATAAGATTAATTTTGTATAAATTTTAAAACCCCTGAATGTACACTGTCTGTACAGTTTTGTTAAATCCTTTCAATTTCAATTACGAATACATACAAATTTAATTCATACAAACCCTGGAGAGAAGTTTTTTCCTAAAGGATCTACTACCTTTATTTATGACGACATATGTAGTAACTATTCAAAATGTTTTTATTAGATTACACTCCATTCCTACTACAAAATTCTCAGAATGCACTCCACTTAACAAGCAAATAAAAGATACTCTTATTGCAAAAAGTGTGTCAAAATGAGTGTTAACTCCATAACACACTTTATGGCTATATCCTCTGATTGGATTGTTTCTACTCAACAAATATAGCTAGTGGCTAAAATTCAAACAATGGTTACAAAGCACTTTGGGAACAAACAAAAGGCCCCAATAAATGTTATGCAATATTTGAGAAGTAAAAAAAATAAATCAAAGATAACACTGTAATAGGAATTGGAGTGTTCTTAGATGAAATTATGCCACAAACCTGCCTTTTCTAAATCTCAGAACTCTTTGCTGTACTTTCTGCCTATGTAAACAAAAGGAACTTTCTAGACATCTAGGACCTTTTCCAATTTATACTCAACTTTGTCCATGCTTCAACAAAAAGTAATTAAAAACCAAAATTAAGACAAAAAAAATCCAAATCTCATTCTACTGGACTGCATGTGTCCAGAGAGAAGTACATGAGAAAGACATCAGCAAAAATTTTAGCTGGATCAGCAACTACAGTTAATTACAGATTGGAAAAGAAAATGAAAAAAAGTCACAGAGTTGCCAATTCTTCCACTTTAACATATTAACAAAATAAAAGATTTTTCCTTCAAGTTTTAAGACAGAGGTTGTGGATTTTCTTATACAAAAATTTCCAAATCTTAGAGACACTTATCACAAAAATTATGCTTTTAGGACTTGGCATCGTATCTATGATTGGGCATGTTCCTAACAGCAATTATTTAATAGAAATTAAAACAAACATTTTGAAATAAACAATTAGCACCCCTCCCAACCCTCAAACAAAAGAAGTCCATTATGGCTTTGATATCCCTTATAAAGAATTAAGTAGATGAGTATTGCCACACTTTAAAATAATTTCACACTAATAAGTATTTCTATTTCCTCCGCTGCTTTTGATTTTGTGTCTTTGCAGTACTTATTAGGGAACCCAGACAGGTACGAATTCCAGCAAGGTGGAGCAGAGATCCAGCTGCCTCTTTGAGCTCCTCATCAATTTCTTGACATAACTGTTTACGCATCTTTTTGCCTGGCTGCGCTTTATCAGAGGTATCAGCACAAGCCTGTGACGCATAGCCACTGTCTCCAAGAGGATCATCTTCATAATCAACATCTGTATCTTCTTCACTGTGAAATCCTTCACTGCCATCACTTCCCACATGGTTACTCTTTGGGATAAATTCATATGACTCATCCACAGAGGATAGAGAAGACACGCTAGACCTGGATGCACAGCGCTGTGCTGCCATGCTACTTGCACTGTAATTGTGGTCTTCTTTTGGATCAATGCTTGTGGCTAACGAATGACTCTCTTGCAGTCGCATAGTACTGGGATGACCGAATGCATTGCTGTAACTCCTCTTTTTTTGCATTGCTGTTTTAAGAGGAAGAGGCTTCTCACCTGTTGTAAAGAAAACATCTATCGATATAGGTCAAATGCATTTGATTGCAAGAACAGGCCATTTAAACTACTGTATCATTCCTGAATAGTAAGTGCTTTATGTTAGTAATGTTTTATAGGTTTTTGTTTGCTTGTTTCTTTTTTTATGCAGACCATATCATCCTGTAGGTATTAAGTTGAAACATTTATTTTATACAATTTTTTAATATTTATTTTTAAGAGATAGAGCGAGAGCAAGAGCATGAGCGGGGTGGGGAGCGCACACACACAGACACACACACAGAGAGACAGAGAGAGAGAGAGAGAGAGAGACAGGGGGGGGGGGAGAGAGAGAGAGAGAGAGATGCAGATTCAGAAGCAGGCTCCAGGCTCTGAGCTGTCAGCACAGAGCCCAATGCAGGGCTCGAACTCATGAACTGGGAGATCATGACCTGAGACGAAGTCAGATGTTTAACCGACTGAGCCACCCAGGTGCCCCTAATTTGAAACATTTTAAAATCACTTAATGAAATGTCTTGACCTTTCCATCAAAAATATAATTATTTTGAGCTGCTTGTACAGAATGCCTCAATAAGAATGTATCACACTGTTTAGCTAACCATTTCCTTATTGATATTTAGGTTTTCCCAATTTTTCACCACTATGAAGAACTGCAATGAAAATCCTTCTGATGCTTTTTCTTACACGTATGCAAATATTTTTCTAGGATACTAAGAAACAGAACTGTTAAGTAAGAGAATACACACATTTCAAGTTATTATTAGTATTTTTTTAATTGAAGTATTATAGTTGACACACAATATTAGTTTTAGGAGTACAACATAGTGATTTGACAATTCTATACATTCCGTAATGCTCACTATAAGTGTAGTCACCTATAGAAAGTTAATACATTATTGACTATATTCTCTATGCTGTACTTTTCACTCCGCTCTTATTTATTTTATAACTGGAAATTTGAAACTTCTTAACTCCCTCAATTAATTTCATCCATCCCCCCACCCTCCTTCTCTCTGGCAACCACCAGTTTGTTCTCTGTATTTATAAGTGTGTTTGTTTTTTGTTTGTTCATTTGTTTGTTTTTTAGATTCCACATATAAGTGAAATCATATGGAATCTGTCTTTCTGTCTGGCTTATTTCACTTACATAAAGCCCTCTAGGTTCCTTTAGGTTGTCAAGAATGGCAAGATTTCATTCTTTTTTATAGGTGGGTAACATTTCATTGTATATATCTATCACATCTTTATCCATTCTTGTATCGATGGACACAAGTTGCTTCCTTATTTTGGCTATGAAAATAATGCTACAATAAACACAGGGATGCATGTATCTTTTAGAATTAGCATTTTTGTTTTCTTTGGGTAAATACCCAGAAGTGGAATTACTGGATAGTATGGTTTTAGTTTTTTGGTTTTTTTTAGTGTTTATTTATTTATTTTGAGAGACCAAGAGAGACCAGGGAAGGGACAGAGAGAGAGAATCCAAGGCAGGCTCTACACAGTCAGCACAGAGTCCGACGCAGGGCTCAATCTCAGGAACTGCATGATCATGACCTTAGCTGAAATCAAGAGTGGAACGCTCAGCCAACTGGGCCACCTAAGCACCCCTACTTTTAGGTCTTTGAGGAACCTCCATACCGTTTTCCATAGTGGCTGTACCAATTTGCATTCCCACCAACAGTAGGTTCCCTTTTCTCTACATTCTCATCAATACTTGTTAGTTCTTATCTTTTTGGTACTAGACATTCTGGTATGAGATCTCACTGTGGTTTTGATTGGCATTTGTGATTGGTATTTTCAAACTGTCCTCTAAAATGGTTTTATGAATTTACATCCTACAGTGTGTGACAATATTCAGTTCCTACAATTAACACCTGATATTATCATGGACAAGAAAGTAGTATACCAATATTGTTGCATTTTGCATTTCCCTGACTTTTAGACAAGTTGCTTATCTTTTCAAATGTGTATTGTCCACTTTATTTCCTTCTTTGAGACTTACCTAATTCATATTATTTTCTTGGCTTTTCTGTTGGGCTTTTTACTTCTTACTTGTAGAATCCTTTTATATACATATACTAGGGTATATGTATATAAAAAGGGTTCAATATTAACCCTTTGTTATATACATAGTAAAAAAAAATGTTCTCTCAGTGTTTTGCTTGGGTGACTTTTCTTACAGCTATCTTTTGTTGTCAGAACTTCAATTTTTTTTTTAATTTTTTTTTTTTTTAACATTTATTCATTTTTGAAAGACAGAGAGAGACAGAGCGCAAACGGGGGAGGGCTAGAAAGGGAGTCACAGAATGCAAAGCAGGCTCCAGGCTCCGAGCTGTCAGTACAGAGCCTGACGCGGGGCTCGAACTCATGGACCGCGAGATCATGACCTGAGCCAAAGTTGGCTGCTTAACCGACTGAGCCACCCAGGAGCCCCATTCAAAATTTCGACATTTAGTTAAATTTACTCACATTTTCTTTTATGGATTTTGCACTTGTATCTCAAGGGTTTTCTTATTTCTAGGTTATAAACATACCTTCCTATATTTTCTTATCTATGGCTTTCATTTTTACTTTTAAATCCTCAAGTTTAATTTTTATACATGCTATTAATTTCTTCATTTCTTGGTCCATGTAAAAAAGATCTATCACAATATTAAACTCAATCTCATAATTTGCTCACATAAATTAAAATATAAGACAAAGTGATTCAGATGAAAACATAATTTAGTTGGAAAAAAACAATTTTGCCTATAACATTTAAATACTTTGCATTCTAAATTACATTTGAAAAAGCACTCACAAAAATGTATTTTAAGAAGAAAAACAGGATTGCTTACATTCTAAAATTCCTTGTTCTATAGAAGTATTTAAAAGCATCATTGCAGTGGCAGCATCAATATCAGATTCTGAAAAAGGAAACCAGTAAAAATATTAATGTTCTTTATAAAAGAGAAGCTATTTTAAGTATTTGCAAAGGTAACCAAAATTCAGATGTGGTGCATATTCTTTTGCTTAAATACACACACACATACACATACACATTAAACAAAATGAGACACATTATTCTGCAATTTGTTTTTGTTCACTTAAAATTATGAACAGTTTTATGAACAGTGTTGAATGAAGGAAAACTGCAAGGTACTAGAGATCATAAAATTCTTTATGATTTTAATAACTTTTTCTTTCCTCTAGCTTACTTTACTATAAGACAGTAATAACTCATAACACACAAAATACGTGTTCAACGACTGCTTATGTTATCAGTAAGGCTTCCAGTCAACAGTAGACTATTAGTAGTTAAATTTTTAGGAAATCAAGTTATACATGGATTTTTCAACTGCATAGAGGAAGGAGGCAGGGGTCAGCACCCCTAATCTCCACATTTTCAAAGGCCAACTGTAATTAACTAAAAATGTACACAAAGACATTACTTTTTAGCATTTAAAAAATATCCTTACCTGTGCATATGTGTGTGCAGTTATGAAGTAATGCATTAATTGCATGCTAGTTACAGGAGTTAAAAGTATATGTACTTGGTCAGTCTAGATCATGTGAATCTACAAATGCTAAATGAATAATTATTGCTGGCACAAAAGTATTAGTAATGTTTTTAATCATTATATATGAGCCTACAAGTACTATAGATTTGTATAATACATATGAGGGCAAAAATAATTATAGATATTCCATAAGAAAAATAGGCTTTAAAAGGTTGAGAAAATCAGCAGATCTACTCCAGATAAAGTCATTATGCTCTCATATCTACTTTTCTACTGAAAGTTCCTCTCCATCTTGGTGATCTATTATTCTGAATAACTATAATTAAATAAAAGTGACATGATACAATCTAAACGTGAAGAAAAAGTTAGAAAATATTTAGAAATTTTAAATTATAAAGGATGTTTAAAATAAGATTTGGATTTGAAACTTCCCATTTCTACCTCAAAGTCAGAAAACTTCTGTTAACCCAAAGTTTTCCATTTTATTTGTAATATCTAATTATAGAGTTATTCTAGATAATAAGGTCATAAAGGTATTGACTTGTCTTCTCCCCAACCTGACTATAAACTTAGTGAAGGCAGAAAAGGTTATTGTTATGGACTTTACCAAACAGACTTAGGTAAATCAGAAGATGGTTGTTACAAGGGAGCACACAATACTGTAGTTCTTTCCCCTTGAATAAACTGTGACTTTGTGAAACACAAGTCTCTATATGAACGCCTCCCCAGTTAGACTGCCAGCTTAAGGTAGGAACCCATCTTACCCTCTATGTTCCACAATGCCTGTAACAATAGTAGGTCCTTGATAAATGTGTAAATAATAAAGTATAAGACTTCTTTATCCTCCTTTCTTTAGATTAAACTACTACCTACCACCAAATTACTAACTAACGTTATCAATGGGCTTAGCATGCTCTAGGCATTAGTAACTCATCTAATTCTCACAACTTTATAATGTGGGCACTATTAGTATATTTCCATCTTAAAAATGAAAAAAAAAAAAAAAGAAAAAGACACAGAGGGGTTCTAGGAATGATAGAGATGGGACTTGAACCTCAATAGTCTATTTCTAGAATCCAGGCCTTCAATCTGTACTCTATCATCAATCCTTAATACTTACTAAGTATCCATGACTAGAGTAGGATTCTGCAGAAATTTACAGAAGATACTGGAAATTCTCTATTCTGTTACTCACTCAATAAGTTGAGTGCCCTGTTATGAGCCAGACATCATTCCAGGTTGTGGGAACACAGCAAAAAAACAAAACAGGAAAATCCCTAACCTCTCAGAACACAAAGGAATAATTAAAACACAGTATGTCACAAGGTGATAAACACTAGGGAGAAAAATTAAGAGGAAAGGGAGATAGAGAGTGTTGAGAAAGGTGGTTGCAATTTTAAAAACAGAGGTTAGAGAAGGTCTCAACAAGAGGCAACAGTTGAGCAAAGATCTCTGGGAGATGAGAAAAAGAAGCCATTTAGATATCTGAGGGAAAAGTATTTCAAGACAGAAAAAACACTAAGTAAAAAAAAATTTTAATCATATCATAGCCAAAAGGATAGCAAAACAAAGATCTCTCAATTCTCATCTTTTAAAATGAGACCTGACTACAATTTGATAGAGCTCAGTATTCTAACATGTCCCTGAAGAAAAAAAAGTGCAGACTCTAGCCCATATTGTATCTCTGTGTGAACTGGAAAAAAGCAACTCTGCCTCCAGGTGAATGCTTCCCTGTATGAAGGCACACAGCTTGAAGACTGGAGTGTGGGTTGAATTTCAGACCCCACTTACTGTCTCAGCCAGATGTCCTTGGGCAGGGCACATCTTGAATGGCACTATGTAAAAGCCCTACAGAGAGATTCCTGCTACATGAAATAATTTTTCTTTTAATAAAAAAAAGGTCTATCTCGTTTCCAATTTTATTAAAAAGAGGCGGGGAAGGGGGAGGTGGTGGTGAGGGAGAATCTAGCACTGAAATACATTATGATGAGGAAACAATTTCAGGACATTTATAATCTTATAAATGAAGTACCTGTAAAATCTTATCAAAAAAAATTAGTGTATCTCTAGCTTAACCTCCCATAGTAAACTTCCATTAGAATTCAAGGAGTCATATTTCTGAAATATAATACCTAAAATAAAGAAAATTGATGAGGCTTATCCTGACAACATAAGAAAATTGCATGAACACCACATTTCTTTTCTCAATTTCCAAATATTTAAAAATGATAACAAAACTAGGTATTATTTCTGTACAGTAGGACAGGAAATGTGTTCCTTAAATACATTTATTTCTTGTATAAATTAAAGCCAAATTAATTTGAACTCTCCCACATGAAATTAACTTTATGAAACCAAAAACTTCTTTGCAAAAGGATTTTATCTGTATCTGGTTTGGTTTAGAACATTTGTAAGTGTGCTTACCATAATGCCTTGCCAATTAATTCTGGAAAAAAAAGTCTAACTGCAAGAGAAATGACCCAAAACACTCAGTAATCAAGAATACCTGATTATCAATGATTTGTCCAAGGTACATTCTTGGAACAAAAACAACAAAAACACTTTACAAATTTTACAAAAACTTTACAATTTTAATTTAGAGTACCCAATCTGTTTTGCTATTAACATTAGACTGAAGACTTACTTATTGTCACAATTAAAAACACTTCACAATGTTACTTTTTCACTGACAATACTTCACACCATTTAAAAGGTAGCTGTGTTTTTAAAAAACATACTATTAGCTAGGTTATCTAACATGTCCAGTTCATAAAGAATAAAAATCTGGTGCTCCTATAAGGTCTTTTGTTTATATTTTCTGGCACTATTTAGATTAAGCAAATAATTAACTTCTAGTTGAAAGTCATTTGTCATTAGTCATGAGAGCTATCCAAATAGTGATTAAAAAAAAAAAAAACAACTTAATTCAAAGTCTTATTATTTCTTTTTTCCTTCATAGTTCTGACTGGAGTTCAAAACCTGCTACTGATTTAACAACTGGTTCAAATAAATTTCCATCATAAGTGTTAATTTGTATGTCCTGGCTTATATTTCATTAGGTTTGATGCTGGGAAATTATGAATGATCATTCAGAAAAAAATTAAAAGACACTAGGTTCAGCTATGTGAAAGTGAGGGTTTTTGAGAGAGAGGGAGAGAGAGAATCCCAAGCAGACTCCACACCGCGAGTGCAGAGCCCAACGTGGCGCTCAAACTCATGAACCAGGAGATCATGACCTGAGCTGAAACCAAGAGTCGGATGCTTAACCGACTGAGCCACCAACATGCCCCGAAGTGAGGGTTATAACACATTTCTGTTCTAACAGACTAACACATTTCTGTTATCTGATTCTCAATTCATTTGCTTAAGGAATGCTATGAGAACAAAAGAGGCAGAATTTAAATATTTACAAGCTCAGTAATAACTATAAGGACTTATTGGCTCTATCAAAACTAATATACACATTTAAAGAGCATCCAGAGAAGTTGTCTCTTGTGATTCTTTAATAGAGGAGAGCAATTTTGATAAATTGCTGATACTTTAAGCTGCTTGGGCCACTGGTTTACTTTCATTTCTATTAAGATACAAATTATGCTGATTTGCGACCTTAAATTTGCCCTTAGATTTGCACTGAGCCCATAATATCATCATTAACTGCCTAAAGTTTGTATTTTCTTGTAGTATACTAGTGCTTAAGTAGAAATACTAAAACTTACTAACTAGAATGTGAGTTCCATTTTTGTCGTCTTTGTTCACTAATGTATCCTTGGTACCTAGTACATAAGTGTGCTCAATATTTAAGTGGATGAATTTATTCCAAACCCACACCAAACCAAAATACTGAGAAAAACAGGTTTTGAGACCTCAGTATGAGATTCTTATGTCTCCTGCCGCATTATACAATCCTGTAAACATAAATATTGGCACATAAAATTAGTCATTGAAAGGTGAGCAAGAGATACTTTAAACAAACTGCTGCACCTACTCTGGATGACAGTGACTGTTTCTCAAATTCCTATGCCTAAATAAGTTCTTCTGTTGCTCTTACATATTTTAAAGGTGGCTATAATTATTAGTAAAGATGATTCTATGAAGTGATAGATGAATATAATATTGGATTCTAATACTGGAACTCAATGACACCAAAGTGATCTTTACAAAACACAATACTGACAATGTTGCCTCATTCTTTAAAGCCCTTCAGCAGCAACTCAGGCACCTCATACATGGTAGGAGTGCAGGTTCTGAAATCAGAGTTTCTGAGTTCTTAGTATGCCATTTACTAGTCGTGTGGCCTTGAGAAAGTTACTTACTCTCTTCAAACTTCAATCTCTGTACTTGTAAAAGGAAGTAACAATACCTCAAAGAGTTGGAAGGATTAAATGAGATGACACATTCAAAGCATAGTAAGAAACTCAGTGCTAACTAATGTTATAATTATAGGAAGGAGTTCAAACTCCTTACTCTAAGTAAGTTCTCCTTGATTTGGCTAATGCTTGCTTAAACTTCTTCATTTGCTTTGCCCATGCTAAGTGATCACATCTACAGCTACTGGACCAAGGCTATCCAATCCTCTTTTATACTCCTAGGCTTCAGCCAAACTCATCAGCCTGTGGTTCCCAGCAGATACCCTCCAACAAGGTCAAGTATTCCCCCAACTTTTCAGGTCTGGCTCAAGCACCACACTTTGTTTTCTAAGAGGCCTTTCCTAACCTACCTCTAAGCTTAATTTGCCACTCACTTCCTTTTTGTCCCAGTGTACTCTGCATAATTCTTATCAACCTTCTTCAATTAAACTGTATGGTTTTTCAGAGCAGGGCGTGGGTCTCTTTCAACTCTGCATATCTCAAAACACCCATACATTGCTTGGCACCATGTGGGAATTCCACAATTACTTATAGAATAAACAGTTGAATGTTTAGTCCCTTTACCACTGTGTTTTTTCAAACTTTTCCCTAAAAATGATATCAAGATAGAAAAAAATGCAAATTTCCTCAACAGTCTATCAAACTACCCTAAAGCAACCTGATTTATATATGAATTTTCTCAAGTTTTTGTTTGGTCTTATGTTTTCCTCTTAAAACTCATAAGAACTGTACATTCTATTCCAGGACAGACCTGCACTTGTTTCAACCTAGAACACCAAGCACCCTTCCCACCAAGTCCATTATAACCAGGCCTAAGACTCACCAGTATAGAAATGGAGGGAAGTAAGCTGTTAGCAGCACTGAAGAGATGATGAACCATATGCATAAGTCGTTAGACGAAGGAGAAGTGCCTATGCTCCAGTTATGAAAAACTGGCTAAAACTAGCAAGAGAAAATTGTGGAAGTGTCTGCTCCCCAAAGGAAGAAGCAGAGTTAGGATGGGATGGCATAAGAGCAAGAAGAGATTCTAAATAAACCCAGAATTCACAAAGAAAATGTTCTCAAAATTTGCATATGAACTGAGCTTGAAAGACTAAAGGTCAGAACTTATTGAGATAATAAAAAGATGCAGTTTTAGCAATGCCTACATGTAAAGAGAAAGCACATTTGTCCATGCAGGGAATGAGAAAACAGATACTTGCCTTATGTTAAGTCAGAACATTATCTGAAGCAAACATGTAACTTCCTTGCAGAGTTCTCTTGAGCTTTTTCATACTCTTTCCCTTCCTTATTTTTACAGACCATCTTCACACTGCTTCCTAGGCTTGGTTTAGTGTAGTTCCAAAGAGCCAAAATGTGTCTGATACAACAGAAGGGCTTTTGGTCTGAGGATTTCTGTTTTTGAATGTCATAGAAATGTCTCTAGGCCCCAAAGCAACAATGCTAGAAAACCTTATGTTAATACATCACTAATTTATAATATTAACTATGAGAAAAGGAAAAAACTACCACCTCAGAATTTTGATATACTTCTAAAAAGTCATCTACAAAATTCTGAAAATTAACTTGTTACCTTCTTAAAGTTCTTTCCATTTAACCTATAAATGAAAAATTTTGAACTATATTCTAATCCAGGGGTTGGCAAACTTTTTCTGTAAAGGGTAATCAAATAAATAATTTAGGTTTTGCCAGCAAAGAGGAAAAACCAAGGATACAATACAGAGATCTCTGTGGCAACTATTTAACTCTGCTCGTGACAAATTTTCATATGCCTTGAAATATTATTTTTATTATTTTTCAATTATTTACAAATATAAACTCAGAGGTTATACCTAAATAGGTGGTGGGCCAGATAGGGCGCAAAGGCCAAGGGCCCGAAGGCCAAAGGCCACCTCTTTTGAAGTCTAAGACAGACCTGAAAATACTGATAGTATGACTACGAAACATTTTCCTTTTTTTTTTTTTAATGCTTATTTTTTGAGAGAGAAAGAGAGAGCGAGAAAGGGAGGAGGGGAGAGGCAGAGAGAGAGGGAGACACAGGATCTGAAACAGGCTCTAGGCTCTGAGCTGTCAGCACAGAGCCCAACAGGGGATTCAAACCCACGGACCTTGAGATCATGACCTGATCCAAAGTCAGACACTTGATTGATGGAGACACTCAGGCACCCTGCAAAGTATTTTCGTATTTCTTTCCTTCCTTCCTTCCTTCCTTCCTTCCTTCCTTCCTTCCTTCCTTCCTTCCTTTCCTCCCTCCCTCCCTCCCTCCCTCCCTCCCTCCTTTCTTTCTTTCTTTCTTTCTTTCTTTCTTTCTTTTCTTTCTTTCTTTCTTTCTTTCTTTCTTTCTTTCTTTCTTTCTTTCTTTTCTTCCTTCCCTTCTTTAATATGAAATTTATTGGCATATTGGTTTCCATACAACATCCAGTGCTTATCCTATCTTCCTATTTTCAAGAAAAAATATACATAAAAGGAAATGAAAAAAAGAGATATACAACAGTATACACAGTATGAGCCTAGCATTTGGAGAAAAAGTATGTGTGTATGTGTGTGCATGCATACATACATATCTACTCATACATAAGGGCAAACAAAGAACCAAAATAATTAAAACAAAATGTTGACTATAGAATAAAGAGTAAGTTTTAGTTTCTTTTTTATAAGTGTTTTTATTTTCCAAATCTTCTACAACAAGCATATAATATACTTTTATGGTTAGAAAAAAAAAATCCTTATTTTTGACCTGAGTTTTTCGGATTTAAAATAATGTTCTTTCACATACCTTTGAGGGTTCGCACCTGGTTCTGCTTGAGTACAGAGCTTAAGAAGTGAGGTGATAAAGAGCCACTGAAAAATAGAGATAAGACAAATATGCTTATAAAAATCTTTATTTCACTTTTTATAGAACTTAGTCACAAATACAACTAATTTATACAATAAAAAACACAAACTATTTTTACCTTGTTTTCTTTGCTAATACTATTCAGTTTAGGAAGAATCTGCCAAAGCAGAAAGAGCATTAGATCCAAGATTAAATCACAACTATTTGGATGTTCTTAGGCAAAATAATTAATTTCTTAGTTTCTTCATCTGTAAAATAGGAATAATTAAACCTCCCACACAGGGTTGCTGTGATGATTAAATAATAATAATGCATTTAAAATGCCTGTAACAATAGATAATACATAATAGTTACTATTTGGTTTTGTATTGGATGCTTAAGTTTGATGATATTAATATAGGTGTTACCACAGAAATGAAAGCATTTATCAAAACAAATGTGTAAATAGAACTGTATGGTTCCTGATTTTATTAATAAATATCAATATCAAACTAATCTTGCTATATTCATAAAAACACCAGCAGTTTGGGCTTTTTTAATTCCAAAAATTAAAGCATTTTGGGGACACACTATTCCTGTTCTTTGGAATTTGTGATAGCATAAAAAAATCTGTTTTGCTGGGGTGCCTGGGTGGCTCACTTGGTTAAGTGTCCAACTCCTGATTTTGGCTCAGGTCAAGATCTCACTGTTATGAGTTTGAGCCCTACATTAGACTCTGTATGTAGCCTGCTTCTCTCTCTCTCTCTCTCTTCCTCCCTCTCTCAAAAAAAATATCTGTTTTGCTAAGTAAATTATAAGTCTATTTTCTACTCACAGTTTCACATACACTTTATTTCATTGTCTTCCTCAACTCACCAATTATGACATGAAAGGGCTACACAAAGGCGTATCAGATGGAACCATCATTTTGCCAACAATGAAAAAGAAAATGTTTCTAAAAATATTAAGATAATGTTTTAAAGTAAAAAATTAGAATCTTTATGGTGTCATTTATGTGTTTTTAAACCACAAATCATTTTTATTTAACATCTAAACATATGATAAAGCTAAAAAGTACAAACATGAAAATGCAACATATCAAAGGCACAGTAAAGTGCATATTTGATGGTAGAGTGTCAATTCTCTCATTTAATCTTTAATTAAAAAAAAAGCAGAGCTAAATAACACACACAAATGACCAAAAGCAGAACTTACCATTAGTTTCCAAATTAATTTTTTTAACTAGTATACCTCATAAGCACCAACATTAACTAATAAAGAGAAGATACTAAGTCCCAAATAAGCACCAACATTAACTAATAAAGAAGATACCAAGTTCCAAACAAGGCTATAAACTCTGATGACTTCTTTTCTAGGTTTCATTTCATACAGACAAACTACTCAATAATTCTTGTGACAATAATGCTTCTAATCTACTAGTATAGTAAATAAACTTAAAATCTCAATGAGTATATAAATATATTACTGATTGCAACTTTAGCCTTACTAATTTTTTACTGTATTTTGGGTACAACAAGGTCTCTAAGTTAATTAATAATAGTTCAAGAAATTAAACATTGCATTAAATACTGATTAATTGTAGCTTTCTCCCTCCTTTTGTGTATGTTTGAAATTTTCCATTTAGTCTTTTATTAAAAAGCCTCTAAAATTTTCCAAAAAAGAAATTAACCATTGTTAGGCTACCCTCAAAAGTAACTCAACGAAGTCTGGTATTTTCAATTCAAATGAATGTACATAATAGAATTAAAAAAAACAGATTCCTTAGGAAAAGGAAACAAAACCAGATTTGAGGTACCATTTTCAGCTTTGACTTAAATGGGAAAGCTATAAGATCAATAGGAGTCACTGAGTTTGAAAACAAAACCCAAGGAAATACATTACAATTATATTCACCAGCAAAAACGAAATGAATAAAAAAACTCAAAGCATTATTCGGCTTGTCAGACATTTTAAAATTTGAGACTCTGAACATAATTTTCAAAATAGTAAATGTGGTGTCAAAGAAAACCAAACTTAAAATAGAAAAGAAATATAAATATACATATAAAACTGTTACAGTGACAAACCATTAATCACCTTACTTTAGAAAGTTTATATATACTTTTAATTTGTCTTTAGTATGCATTTGTATTGCAGACAATTAAAATAATTTAAACCTTTTGTACCTAGAATCATATTATAACTTTCTTTACATACCCAGTAGGGTGTATTTTCCAGAATTTATGTTCTTACCTATCAAATATCCTATTTCCTAATAACAAAAAGTTAGATATAAGTGAAAATGCCTTAGGCTAATGTCTTACCCCATATATTGGTCTCCATACAATAAAAAAAACCACACAGAAAACCTTACAACTTTGTTAAGTTTTTGTATCTCACACAATGAAATCTTATAAATCACCATTGACACTTTTATGGAAGATCCTGTACCTTTGTGGAGATGCAGGAGGGGTGTAGAATGTTAATGCTGAGGAAAAAGGTTGCTTCTTCAGTGCCTGCATAAGGTTGGGTTTATATTCTGGATCAACACACCATAAGGAACCTTTCCCATTAACCTAAAATAAAATACACAAGAATTATTTACCTGGAACCTTTAAGACCTACACAATCAGTGCCTGGATGTTTTTACTAAATGTGTGGGGCAAAAAACCCTACAGTACCTTTTGAGTAGAATGTAAAGGTTGAAATAAGCTTGCTATAAATGCATTGTGTGATTAAAAGCCCTAGAGGCAGATCTCCAGCTCTGCCATTTACCTGCTACGTGACCTTAGGAAAGTTAACCAACTCCTATCTCTCCAAGACACTCTCCATTCCTTCATTTGGAAGGTAGGGATGATAACACGACCTACTTTATAGGACTGTTATGGATTAAATTATGCATAAGGGGCAGTACACAGTGCCTGGCACAGAGAGCCACAGGACATGCCAATCACTTCATTGCCTGTGAGAATGGTACAACCCCAAGAAGTACAGTGAAGAGCACGAAGGACTATACAATGTGTTCCTCCACATGCTAAGTTGTAACAAATGGAAGCCATTATAGGAAAAACAGAAAGAAAAGGAAAAATTAAGCTTTCTATGCAGCATCATTTCCCCAAAAGTAATAAGCAGTATATCAAATGATACATCAAAAAATAATTCTCATTTTTAATGGTATTAACAGTAATATTTAAGTTAGCATTTAAAGTAAAATTTAGGGGCGCCTGGGTGGCTCAGTCGGTTAAGCATCTGACTTCAGCTCAGGTCATGAGCTCATGAGTTTGAGTGAGTTTGAGCCCCATGTCAGGCTCTGTGCTGGCAGCTCAGAGCCTGGAGCCTGGATTCTGTGTCTCCCTCCCTCTCTCTGCCCCTCCCTTGCTCGCACTCTGTCTTTTTCTCTTTCTCAAAAATAAACATAAAAAAATAAAGTTAAATTTAAAATGCAGATGATTTAATGAAAAGCACAGTAGAAGCCTCAGGGTGGCAAATCAACAACTGAGTATGGAAAAGGCTCCTATAAAAGATAATGAAGAGGAAGGAAGCATTATTAGCCCTTAGAGGATTTAAGTTACAACATTTGAGGGACTTTTAGATAATATGGCAATGAACATATGAACCCAGATGCCACTGAAATAATCAACAGAATCTAAAAATTATGTAATTTGTATGATTACTAGAAACTGAAGAAACCATAAACAAAAGTGCCTGTTAAATTTCAAACGGGAGCTGCCTGAAGGAAGGGCTTGAGTGATCCACAGTTGGCCCCATGTGAAGGACCAGCTTAGAGGAAGGTAGGTGGACCTGATACCTGAAAAACCTCACTACTATTATCTAACATACAGAGAAAAGGCTAGGCTATGGGATAATTCCTTCAAATAGGTTTGAAAAATACTACACATTTTACTTCTCTCCTTCTTAGAAGGTCACACTACATATTAGCAGGTTAAGGGATCTAAATATTTCTGTCATTAAGCCAGTTTTATATGGTTTCCTAAAATTATCCAACACAGAACTTCCTTCTCTCAGGTAATATTTGAGGAAGCTTGTGTTCTGTGGAACACCTATGAGAAAAATTGATGTAATTAGTGAATTTTTATAGACTACACTTTCAAAATATTAATGGAAAAAACTATAAACATTGATTAGGCCATTAAGAATAATAAATTTCCTTTTAAAGATCACAATTTTAGGAGCACCTGGGTGGCTAAGTGAGTTAAGTGTCTGATTCTTGATTTGGGCTCAGGTTATGATCTCATGTTTTGTGAGATGGAGCCCTGCATTGGGCTCTGTGCTGATGGCATGGAGCCTGCTTGGGATTCTTTCTCCCTCTCTCTGTCCCTCCCCTGCCCATGTGCACTCTTTGTCTCAAAATAAATTGAAATATCTGAAACCAGCTTTTATCATATCTGGGGAGAGGGGTATTATTATAATGTTATATAATATAAATAATGAAAATAAAATTGATAAATTGATAACTAAAAATTAGGAAAATAAGGGAACTGACAAATCAACAGAGTATTCTAAAAAACCATCAAAATATTATACATCCTAGTTGAGGTAGTCAAAGGAAATAAATGAAGGACTTTAGGAGCTGTGAGATCACCTGCTAACTCTTCCTTCAGGATAAATCTTTACTACTTCCTTTTTTTTTTTTTTTTTT